CCTCTTCTCCGAATTTCTGCAGTGTGGGACGTGGTAAGAGTTCCAAAACTAGGTAGCTGCCACTCATAGATTTGGCAGTGGCTCACCGGTGGTGTCCGAAGCACTGGTCGTCATCTTCGGCCGTGGGATCGTGAGTTCGCCGTCCCAAACCTTACCTCCTCAACCAACAAAGCCCGGACTCTCTATGAGGCTTCTCTTGGTTTTTTTTTCGGATGTTTTGTTAAGGGATAGAGGGTGTTCACCGGGTCCCGCGTGCAAGTCAGGTGCCAGAGGAGGAGTGATGCCCACGCAGCTCTGCCCGTGAGGTTCGGCACAAAATGCTGCACCCACAAATCTGATGAAGCTACCTGCACTCAAATAGGATTTTGAATTCAGGCTGCAAGTTCTATGGCTAGTAATGATTTCGTGGGGGGACCGATCGAGGAGCCGTAGCAATGAGGATTGGCATTCCTTTACGAATCATGACTATGATCCCTGGCTGAACTGTCAACCCTAACACCCTAAACCCCTTCCCCTTCGAGCCCTTTCGGACCCTTGCAGTCGGTCTTCATCCGTACCCCATTGTTCTATGTCAACCCCACAGCCTCACGTGTCTAGCACCCAGAAACATAAAGCCAGCAGCTCCCGAGAACCTAAATCTTGGCTACCCGCTTGGTCGGGTAGCCGATATATAAGGGGTTTATGTGTGGTTCTTCGATGCCATTATGTGTGTCTGGGTGGATTTGTTGCTAAAACCAAAAGCCCCAAAGTCTCTAAGCACGGAGCTGCAAGACCCGAAGAAAGCTCCGTACACTAAACTGTAAACCCGGAATTCTAGGACCCGAAGCCATACTACCTAAACTCCCAAACCCTGAACTCTATCACCGGCTAAAACCCCAACCCCTGAAGCCAAGCATCCAACAATGACCGCAACCTCTGAAGCCAAGCAGTCAACGATAAGTAGTCCCGCTAAGCTACTGCAGCTGACCCTTAAAAACCCCATTAAGAGAGAGAGAGAGAGAGAGAGAGCCTGAGCTTGAAGGCCGACAGTTGGATTGCAGGTTTCGGGTCTAGGGATAGAGACCAGCCGGAGCGTCTCGCAAGTGTGTTTTTTTGTTTGGGGGGGGGGGGGTTGAAAATTCATGTAGATGCCCGACAAAACCTCTCTTTGGTCAAAGGCTGGGGCTTAAGAGGATCCGTAGTACAATCCTGAGCGAGGGATGCGCAGATTATTTCTCAAGGCTCCACATGACTCTGAGGCCTTCGATCGACAAGAGGAGTCTCAGCAGTTCTGTTCTGTTCTGTGGGGATGGCCATAGCAGCAGAGTGGAGTATATGTCGACCTTTAACTCCCATAGCTATGAAAGCTTCCATGCAGCTTCGTGAGCTGTTCGCTCAGCGCATCGTCCCCAGGCCCGGCAAAATCTCGTCGAGCAGCTTCGTGCAAGGCGGAGAGAGGCTGGGAAGTCAAGTTGAGTTTCTGTTTCAATCAACAAGGGGCCCCAAGAAACAACCCTAAGTGGTTCAAGAAAGGCTCCCACGCATTGCTTGGGGCTTAGGTGTTTTTTTGGGTCCATCCTCAATCCCATGGCCAGAGCTCTTTGGGAAGCCTGTCAGCATCTTCGGCTGCTCGATACAGCTTCATGCAAACCCGTCGCAGCATTCGTGGTTCCTGGAGCGCCAGAGAGGATTCCTTTCTTCAGATTTGTAGGTGCTAGGATGAAGCAATGGGCAGCGGCATTCCTCGTGCTGCGCTTTGCACTGGCTCAAACAGACGACCACGGGCATGACCACGGGCATGACCACGGAAGCGGAGCTTTCGAGTGGGCAGGCATCTTCGACACTCCGAACAGCAACTACCTCTGGACGGCGCAGAAGACCGACGGTGGCTACGCCGATCCAACGCTGAAGATGGTGGCTTTGCCCACCGCGACAGTCAGCCAGCAGGCGCTGAGCGACTTGGAGGCCCAAGGAGAGACGGCCATGGAGGCCACGGATTCGACTTGTACAACGGTGCAGTCAGGAGGCACCATCACCCCAGCTGCAAACACCTGCTACATACTGGAATTCGAGTCGAGTGCATGGCAGTCTCTTTTCAACATCGATGCAAGCGCTACGGCTGGGATCGCCTTCTTTACAAATCATGGGCCAACCGAGTTCGAAGCTGATGCCCACTACCTCAAGGACAGCGTTGGCGAGGACATTGAGCCGGTAGGCGAGCTGCCAGAAGTGACTGTGACTCCGGCACCAGAGACGCCTTACGATTGGGGCCTTATCCTAGCGGCAGTTCTGGTGAACGTGGTTACTTTTATTGGGGTGGTTCTCTTATTCTCACCCCTGAGGAGATTAGC